ATTTATCTAGAATTTATATTCTTGTCTCATATTTTCCGTATCCTAGGTACTAAGCTGCATCTTCATTTTGATTTTGTTAGCTTTTTACTTAGCTGTAATGTATCAAACAATATTTACATTGAAAGCTACATGCACTTTGTTAACAACTGAATTGCATCAACAGTGTTCCTGTGTTTTCATGTATTCACTTCCTTTCAAAAATAAACTAGAATACGTTAAAGAAGATAGAAAAATTTACCTTAATGATATAAATAAGAGTATTTTAATTCCTCTGCATACAAGGAAATTAATTATATCATAAGGAATGCAATTTGTTATAATGAATATAAATGACAAATAGGAGGTTTGTGAACTATTGAAATTTGCCAGCCTCCTTGGAGTAAGAACATATATTTTTAAGCATTTTTTTCCTTCCTTATGAGTCAAGGAAGCCTTCTTATAAGCAAAAGGTAAGATTATAGGAGTTTTCAGTGGGGATGATTAAATTGTCTCGTGGAAACGTTTAGCTAATGTCGTGTATCAGTTTTAACATGTGAAGCAACAGTGTTCTATCTAGAATTAAAGTCAAGTTTATTTAAAGAGGCAACACAAGAACATTTCTCATGGATATAGGCTCCATTCACTTGGAATAATGTCACAGCAAACATTTTGTTATCTTTTCATTCAGTGATGATTTTACCTCAAGATGGGCATTTCTGTGCCAGTACATTGCCAGAAGTTAGTGTCTGTTCGTCATTCTCTCTTCCTGCTTTCTGTTTGCTTGTGTATCTCAGCAGAGGTCCGTGACCATTTACTTCACTTTTGGCCTCTGCCCCATAGAAAAGAACATTTAAAATAATACCAGTGGAGGAATATGAATGACTTTTTTTTTGAGGACTATTTTCTATCTAAACTCTGAAAAAGTGCCACATTGGGAAAGACAATTTGATGGTGGTTGAGAAAAAAATACACCTCACTTATTTCTTTACTTATTAAAAAGAGTATGTATCTGTAACTCCAGGAAGAGATGACAATATCATGTTTGAACGTTATAGATAGACACATTCACAAATCAAGGATAATTTTGGGAAGATTATTTTAATCTTTGAGACTGTTCTAGTATCGTTGAACGACACATACCTGACTTGCTCCCAATCTGTGGGCATACAGCTGTTTTAAACTGTGGCAATACTTAAGTGTTCTCTAAATTGAGGTGCTAAATAACTGTTCATTCCTCAGTTCAGTCACTAGGTCCCCGTCTTTGAACTTATACAAAATAAAAGCTTCTGATTCTTCCAAGAATAAAGTCAGGGAGTCCCATGTTCTACTTTGTTGATAGTTAGAAACATTTCTCCACTATGGGTAAGATGTATTTTTCTTGGTTTATAAATATGTAGCACTCAGGTTGAGAAGACTTGGATTTCATTCTCAGAAATCCAGAATATTTTCTGTCTCTTATAAACAAAACAGCAGTCTTACATTGAAAGGATTTTCCCTAGTGAAGCATGTATCACATTGAATGCATGTTAAATAAAAGTAGAATTTTTACCTTTTTGAATAATGCTGATTATCTTTTATGAATGATTTTGAATTTCTTCTTAAATGTACCCTATTTTTCTATTTTACAGTTAAGTGCCTCATTTGCTGCCCGTAGTTAGACAAAGAAAAACCAACTTGCACTGCACTAATACCAAAATGCTGCATCATGGTGCATTAGTTTCTCATAAAAGCTTCTGAAATGTCATGGTTCAGTATTACCTCAGTAGGTTTCTGCTGACATCTCCCCACTTTTCTCTTTTTTTAAGAAATGACAAAACACAACTAAGTTCATTTGAACATCAGCATTTGCCAATAAGATTTCCTTTTCCATCTTTGCCTTGTTTTTCTAGCCCATAAGTGGTATTCAGCCTACTTTTATTTTAAAATTGGCAGAATATGATTAAGATATTCTGCTGTTCATGCTATTTAACTTTACTAGCATTTTGAAGTGCAAGAATATTAAGTAGCCCCCTACCTTAACTGTACAGATTATCTCGAATGTAAATAGAATGAACGTAATGTAAATTAGAATGCAGGAAGACTGTGGCATAGACCTAATATATTTTAATAGGTTTTTACAGTGTAATTTAAAATTATTTATTTGACTAAGGTACTTGGTTTTAACTCTATGAGCTATTTATTGCTCTGGTCAGAGAATGAGTCTGGTAAGGTTTGGGAAGTTGAGTTTTAACACAGTCTTTGTGTTCTTCTAATAGGAGAGGTTAGTTCAACTGTGCCATTTTACTTTGGTTCTCCTCCTTTGTGAGCAATTTCAATATATTCCTTCAGAAGCATGGAATCATACCATGTGAGAATTGGAAGGAACGTTAGAGATTGTCTATTCTAATCTCTTTGTTTTAAACATGAAACTAAAGCACAGAGAAGTTAGATGACTTGTTTGAATGGATAGCTAGTTAGTAGAAAATAAACTGTGAAAACTTAAAAGTTATTGTATTCCAAAATGTACTATATACACTTTACGTTAATCTTTACACAGTAAGTCAGTAAGAAAGTCTCTACATATTCTTCATCCTCTTTGAAAGAGACAAAAAAACAGTTCTAAGAGAGCTGGAACGCTACCATTCAAGGCAGAGTGGCTTGAGGAAAACAGCTGTTACATTTAGAACCCTGAGTGAATTTTCTCTAAGAAGTGTGATTTGATTAAAATGGTTTTCAAAGAGTAACATGGTAGAAATCAACATTTTAAAAGACTAACTGCATCTTGGAGTCCATTTATTTGATGACAGGGAGTATAACAGGTTGCTGGGATACATAATTTTCTAGTGAAATGCTAGTTTGATTATATTTCATCTTTAGTTTTACAGAGAAACAGATGGTAAAGTTTTGACTCTTAGTGTGCAGAAAGCTCCAATCATGACAGTTGATACATACAGAATATAGTTTGGCTTTATAAATTTAATTATAAAAAGCCTTACAATGTGCATGTTTGTAGGAAATATTTAGCCACATAATTTTAGTATATATGCAAATAACTAAAAATTGAAGTATAGTTGATTTACAACATTGTGTTAATTTCTAGTGTACAGCATACTGACGCATTTATATGTAAATATATATATTCCTTTTCATATTCTTTTTCATTTTAGGCCGTTACAAAAGTATTGAGTATAGTTCCCTGTGCCATACAGTAGGACCTGTTGTTTATCTAAAAATAACTTCTTATGAGTATTTTCAGAAACAGTATAGAGTTATGATATTATACTGTCTCCCTTGATAATGTGTTTGGCACAGATTCTTAGAGTTGAATTGATAACCACAATATAAAATATAAAAATCTTTTTTTCCTATAGTAAAAAGGGAAAATGCAAGATGAGTCTGATCAATTTCCCATTCATAAATTTTAAAAAGACACATAATTCTTTACTGTGTATTTTTATTTTACCATGTACCTTATTAAGGAATTTTTATTACAGTAACATTTTAACTTTTAAATATATGACCCCCTTCATTTATGAAATAGAGACCAAAAGGTCTGTAAGGAACATTCTGAACATTTTTAGTAATATTACTTTCACTAATCAAACCTATTGTGCCATATTAAATTTAAAGGTCAAGTAAACAATGTAGTCTTTGCAGCCTTGGAGAGAAACAGGTATATGTCTTTTAAAAATGTGGTGCTTTTTATTTGTGAATGAGTAGAAATCATACTACAATTTAATTCCTTAATTAATTTTAGTGGATAGCAGGAATTACTCTGTAGTGGCTTTGTTCATTTCCTAATTAAATTTCTTTGAGTGTTTTGTAATTATTTTAATGCTGACAGTAAGAGTTTAAAAATAATTTGATTTAACCACTATTTTTAGGTTTCTCTTTAATTTTGTTGTAGAAATAATGGATGATTTAAAGTGGTTGTGGTCTGTTTTATGAAGGCTTTATATTTTATATTGTACTTATTTAATTTGTATTTAAGTCTCAGATTCTAAATAAAAAGTTTGTACATTTGTTTGAGTGATTCATCTATATATTATAGTGATTAGCAGTAATGGCTGTTATTAACTGTGCTTGTAATTAATGGGTAATTAAAATTCAGAACACATTGCAGATAGAATTCTTAAAGAACATTCAACAGTATTGTACAAGTGAATTGACAATAAAGCAATTTTAGCCTTATGAAAGGAATACGAGTTTAGTTTTGTTTGGTATAGATTTCATTACTTCCAGGATACTCACTGGAATTCTCTGGGTAGAGAAGAGCAAATATTATCCCTCAAAGAGCATAGGTGACACTGTCAGACGCTGTTGAAACAGTGGATGCTGAAAGTGTTAGGAAGGGAGGGAGGGAGTAGAAGCCTTCTCATTTGACACAATTAGGGCCTATAGTTGGTTGGTGTTACGGACTGAGTTGTATCCTCCCCCGCCCCCAGTTCATATATTGAAGCCTTGAGCCCCAATGTGACTGTATTTGGAGATAGGGACGTTAAGGAGGTAATTAAGGTTAAATGAGGTCATAAGGATGGGGCTCTAATCCAGTGGTACTGGTGTCCCTATAAGAAGAGGAAGAGACATTATTTCTTTGTGTGCCTAGAAGAAAGGCCATTTGAGGACACAGCAAGAAGACAGCCATTTGCAAGCCAGGAAGAGAGCTCTCATCAGACATCCAACCTGTTGGCACCTTGATCTTGGACTTCCAGCCGCCAGAAATACGAGAAAATAAATTTCTGTTGTTTAAGTTACTCAATCAGTGGAATTTTGTTATGGCATCCTGAGCAGACTAACACAGGTGGTTAATTAAAAATTCAGGAAATAGTAAAGATATATTTATACCTTATAATTTAAAAAATTACTGAAATATAAGTAACATACAGTGAACTGCATATATTTCAAGTGGACATTTTGATACATTATGACACATGCATCCCATCATCACAACAGTCAAAATAAATATATTCACCCCCAAAAGATTTCTCATAACCCCTCCTTCTGTTTTGCCTGGTTTCTTTTATCCAGTGTAATGATTTAGAGATTCAGCTGATAGTTCATTCCTTTTTATTGCTGAGTAATATTCCATTGTTTATACTTGCTATGATTTGTTTTTTTCAATTTTATTAAAAATTGTTTTCCAGCTTTATTGCAAAATATTGACAATATAACATTGTGTAAGTTTAAGGTATACAATTTGATGATTTAATATATGTATATATTGTAAAATGTTTATCATAATAGGATTAGTTAATATATCCACTACCTCACATGGTTACAATTTTGTGTGTGTGTATGTGTGTGTGTGTATTTATGTGTGTGTATTGAGAACTTTTAACATCTCTTTCCTTAGCAAGTTTCAAGGAATTTTATGGTATCAAGTCTTATGTTTAAGTCTCACTTTGAGTTAATTTTTGTGAATGGTGTAAGATAGGGGTCCAGTTTCATTCTTTGGCATGTGGATATCCAGTTTTCCCAGCATCATTTGTTGAAGAGATTATCCTTTCCCTATTAAGTATTTTTGGCTCTTGTCAAATCTTAGTTGACTGTATATGCATGGGTTTATTTCTGGGCTCTTGATTCTGCTTCATTGGTCTATGTGTCTGGTTTTATGCCAATTCCATACTGTTTTGATTACTATAGCTTTGTAATCAGGAAGTGTAATATCTCCTACTTTTTTTGTTTTTTTGTTTTTTTTCCTCAGTTCTGACTTTTTGAGGTCTTTTGAGGTTCCATATGAATTTTAGAATTATTTTTCCCATTTCTGTGAAAAGATGCCATTGGAATCTTGTTAGGAATTGCAATCTATAGATGGCACTGGGTAGTTTAGACATTTTAACAATATTAATTCTTCCAATCTATGATTGGGGGATATCTTTCCATTTATTTTTGTATTCCTCAGTCTCTTTCATCAGCGTCTTACAGTTTTCAATATAAAGAAATTTCACTTCCTTGGCTAAATTTATTCCTAAGTATTTTATTTTGTTGTTTGTTTTGTAGTGAATATTCATTTTTAATGAGAAAAGGTTTTTTTGGTAGTGAGTTATTTTTGATGCTGTTGTGAGTGAGATAGTTTTCTTTTTCAGATAGCTTATTAGTGTATAGATATGCAACTGATTTTTGTATGCCAATTTTGTATTCTGCAGCTTTACTTGTGTTCATTGATTAGTTCTATGGTTTGGTAGAGCCTTTAGAGTTTCCTCTATGTAAGATCATGTCATCTGCAAACAGATAATTTTACTTCTTGATTTGGATGCTTTTAATTTTTTTTCCTTGACTGATTGCATTGATTAGGACTTACAGTATTATGTTGAATAACAGTGGTGAGAATGGGCACTCTTGTTCCTTATCTTAGAAGAAAAACTTCCAGCTTTTCAACATTGAGTATCATGTTAGCTGTGGGCTTTATGGCTTTTATTATATTGAGATATGTTCCTTTTAAATCCAATTTGTTGTGAGTTTTTATCATGAATGGATGTTGATTTTGTCAAATGCTTTTTCTGTATCTAATGAGATGATAGGACTTTTATCTTTCATTCTATTAATGTGAGGTATCACATTTATATTTTAAATCATACATAAAATAAATTATATATATTTGTATATATTATATATAATTATTATGTACCATATTTATAATACATAATTATTATATATAGTTGATCCTTGAGCAACACAGGGAGTAGAGGTGCTGACCCCACCCCATGAAGGTAAAAATCCAGGAATAACTTTATAGTCAGCCCTTTTTGTCCACAGTTCCACATTCAACCAACTGAGGATTGTGTAGTACTGCAGTATGTATTTATCAAAAATACTCTGTGCATAAGTGGACCTGTGCAATTTAAACCTGTGCTGTCCAAGGGTCAACTGTATATATAAATGTGATGTGTCATATATATGTTATATATTTGCATACATATTATATAATTATACATCATATAATATACATGTTATACAATATACAGTTGTAATGTCTTACACATGTATGTTATAGATTATCATTATATATTATATATAAATTATATGTATTTGTGTATGTTGAACCATCCTTGCACGGTGTATGATCATTTTATTGTACTTTTGAATTTAGTTTGCTAGTATTTTGTTCAAGAAATTTGCATCTATATTTATCAGGGATTTCTTTTCTTTTCTATCTGGCTTTGGTACTGGCATAAAGCTGTCTTCATAAAGTGAAACTGGGAGTGTTCTTCCTCTTCAACTTTTTGGAAGAGTTTGAGAAGGATTGGAATTAATTCTTTAAATGTTTGGTAGAATTCACCAATGAAACCATCTGGTCCTGGACTTTTCTTTCTTGGGAGGTTTTTAATTCAACCTCCTACTCATTATTGATCTGCTCAGATTTCTTCCTCAGTCACTCCTAATTGATTGTATGTTTCTAGGAATTCTCCATTTCTCCTAGGGTGTCTAACTTGTTGCTATTTAATTGTTCACAGTAGTCTCTATGATTCTTCATATTTGTGTGAATTCAGCTGTAATATGTCCTCTTTGTGAAAGCACTTAAAATTTTATTTATTTAGATCCTCTCTTGAGTAGTCTATCTAAAGTTTTGTCAATTTAGTTTATCTTTCCAAAGAGCCAATTCTTAGTTTTGTTAATCTTTTCTATCGTTTTCCTGTTTTCTATTTTGTTTATTTATGATCTCATCTTTCTTGTTTCCACCTTTTGATAACTTTGGACTTGGTTTTTCTTTTACTAGTTTCTTGATGTGTAAAGTTAAGTAGTTTGAGGTCTTTCTTTTTTCTTGATGTATGCACTCATCACTATAAAATTCCTTCGGGGATTGGCTTTTGCTGCATCCCATAAGTTTTGGTCTTTTGTTTTTTCATTTTCATTTATCTCAAGATATTATTTAAATACCTTTTCAGGAGTGTGTTGTTTAATTTCTATATATTTGTAAATTTTCCAGCTTTCCTTCTGTTATTGACTTCTAGTTTCATTTCACTGTGATTGGAAAAAAAATACCTGATGTAATTTCTATCTTTAATTTGTTGAGAATTATTTTTGTGGTCTAACATACGCTCTATCCTAGAAAATGTTCCATATGCACTTGAGAAGAATGTGTGTTCTGCTGCTGTTGGATGGAATGTTCTGTACATGTCTGTTAGATCTATCTGGTCTATAGTGTTCAAATCTGCAGTTTCCTTATTGATTCTTTGTGCAGATGATTTATCCATTGTTGAGAGTGGAATTTTAAACTCCCCAACTATTATTATATCACTCTTTATTTCCCTTTTTAGTTCTGTTAATATTTGCTTTATATTTTTAGGTGCCACGGTGTTGGATGCATAAATATTTACAATTGTTTTATCTTCTTGATAAATTGACCCCTTTATCATCATATAATGACCTTTATCTCTTTTGACCATTTTTATCTTAAAGTCTATTTTGTCTAATTTAGCTGCTCATGCTTTCTTTTGGTTACTATTTGCTTGAAATATCTTTTTCCATTCCTTCATTCTCAGTCTGTGTGTCTACTTAAAGTGAGCCCCTTGTAGCTGGATGTCATTGAATCTTGTTTTTTAATCCATTCAGCCTTTCTCTGTCTTTTGATTAAGGAATCAAACCATTTATATTATATAGGTAATTATTGATAGGCTTTTTGCCATTTTGTTAATTGTTTTCTGACTTGATGCTTTTTTCCTTGCTTCCTCTCTTGCTGTCTTCTTTTGTGATTTGATGACTTTTTGTGGTGGTATGCTTTGACTCCTTTATCCTAGTCTTTTGTGTATTTATTATAGGTTTTTTTTCTTTGTGATTACCGTGAAGCTTACATAAAGTGTCTTATATTTATAACATTCTATTGTAAGTTGACAATCACTTTGATAGCATATTAGACGTTTTATACTTTTAGGTAACCTCACAGTCTAGGTTATTGATGTTATATTTTTATCCTATGTATCTAATAAGAAATTTTGGTAATTATGGAGTTTTTTTTGTTGGTTTGTTTGGTTTTTTTTTTAGTTACAAAGGATTTAATTTCTGGCACACTGTAAGAATTGACATTTAAAAATGAAATTACAACATTCTTTTAAATGTCTCACGAAAAATCAAATGCTATAATTTTATAACCACCATAACTAATTTAAAATACATTAATAAACTCTAGCTTAACACTTAGAAAGTTTCCATTGTTCCTTTTTCTTTGCTAACTCATTTCTATTCTATTATACTCCCAAAGATATTTATCCATGAATAATATATTTTATGCTTGAAAAATATTTTGTTGATCATCATATCATGCTTATCTGTAACAAAATATGCATATAGATTTAAATTTAAATTTTTAGTTTTCTCTAACTCTGAGACTTTAAATGTTATGATCTTTTTCTGGATTGAATTACCATCATAATTTTTAGTGATATGTTCTTATTTTTTTAATTTTTTTTGAAGTATACTTGATATACAATATAAGTTACAGGTGTACAATATAGTGATTCACAATTTTTAAGGTTATATACCATTTATAGTTGTAAAATATTTACTGTAGTCCCTGTGTTGTATAATATATCCTTGTAACTTACTTTATACCTAATAGTTTATACCTCTTAATCCCATACCCCTATATTGCTCTTCTCCCCTTCCCTCTCTCCACTGGTAACTGCTAGTTTGTCCTCTTTATCTGTGAGTTGGCTCCTTTTTTGTTATATTCACTAGTTTGTTGTACTTTTTAGATTCCACATATTAGTGATATCATACAGTATATGTCTTTGTCTGACTTATTTCACTTAGCATCATGCCCTCCTCCAAGTCTATACATGTTGCTGGCAAATGGCAAAAATTTTTTTTAATTGGTTGAGTAGTATTCCATTGTATAAATATACCACATCTTCTTTATCCATTCATGTGTTTGTGGACACTTAGGTTGCTTCCATATCTTGGCAATTGTAAATAATGCTGTTATGAACATGAGAGTGCATTTATCTTTTTTCAGATCAGTGTTTTTGGATTTTTTCTTTTGGATATACACCCAGGAATGGAACTGCTGGGTCATATGATAGTTGTAATTTTTGTTTTTTGATAAACCTCCATATTGTTTTCCGCAGTGACTGCCCTAATTTACTTCCCGCCAACACTATACAAGGGTTCCCTTTTCTCCACATCTTGCCAACATTTGTTATTTGTGTTCTTTTTGATGGTAGCTGTTCTGACAGATGTGAGGTGATTACTCATTGTGGTTTTGATTTGCATTTCCCTGATGATTAGCGACATAGAGTATCTCTTCATGTGCCTGTTTGCCATCTGCATTTCCTCCTTGGAAAGATGTCTATTTATACTTCTGCCCATTTTTAAATTGGGTTTTTTGTTTTTTGGGGGTTTTTTTTGGTGTTGAGTTGTATGAGCTGTTTATGTTTGTTGGATAGGAATCCTTTACCATTTGCAAATATTTTCTCCCATTCAATAGGTTGTCTTTTTGTTTTGTCTTTATGGTCTTTTTTTCTTCTTCTTTTTTTTGGTGGGGGGAGGTAATTAGGTTTACTTATTTATTTGTTTAGAGGAGGTACTAGGAATTGAACCCAGGACCTTGTGGATGCTAAGCAAGCACCCTACCACTTGAGCTATACCCTCCCCCCTCATTATGGTCATTTTTAATGCATTTCCTTTTTAACTTTTAAAGTACAGTTATAAGTGAATTATGCACCAACACTGAAATACTAGAAAATCTTACTTTGACTATATATTTAGTATTATCAGTGAGTTTTATACATATATGTTTTTATGATGTTAATAGCATCCTTTTATTTCTGCTTGAAGAACACCCTTTATTATTCCTGATAAGGTAGGTCTAGTGATAAACACCCTCACCTTTCTTTGCCCAGAAAATTCTTTATTTTTCTTTTACAATTTTATTGAGATTTAATTGACATACAACTTGGTATAAATTTAAGATGCACAGCATAAGGATTTGACTTAACATATATCATGAAATGATAAGCACAGTAAATTTGATGAACATCCTTCTCATATAGATACAAAGTTAACGAAAAAGTTTTTTCTTGTTAAGAGAACTGTTAAGATTAACTCTCTTAACAACTTCTGTATATAATAGAAAGCAATGTTAATTATATTTATCATGTTGTACATTAGATCCCTAGTACTTATTTATTTTATAACTGGAAGTTTGTACTTTTTGGCTGCTTTCATCCAATCCCCACTCCCCTCACCCCCTGACTCTGGTAGTAAACACAAATCTGATTGCTTTTTCTATGAGGTTTTTTTTTAAGTGTAACTGGATTCTATTCTGTTCCAGTGATGTAGTCATTTATATTGTAAATGTATATGTACACTACACTATATTGATTACTGTAGCTTTACACTAAATCTTGAAGTAAGGTGATTTAAGTCCTTCAGCGTTCTTTTTCAACATTGTGTTCTTTGAGTATAGATGTTCTGGGGTTTGGTGGCTTTTGTGTATAAATTCTACCTATAAAGCACCATTTCAGTTTTTATTTCTCTGCAACAGAGAGCTTAAAAGCACACGTAAACCACCCAAATGCAGAGTACTTCTAGATTTTTATAATTTCTCCCTCTGACCTTTGATAATTTTCTTGTCCATCACTAACTCAGTAGTAGTTTTTTGTTTTACTCCTTTATGCAGTTCAATTTTGAGTCTTTCCAAATCACTCAACTATTTGTTTTCCAAGAATATTTTCTCGTTTTACACTTGATCAAAGATTCATATAATAGCTAGATCATATAGTTCCAACAAATTTTAAGTGGCCTAAACTGGTTTAGAAACAAACAACTCAAATTGGTAAGGATGGCAGTGCATGCTCTGGAGAGAGGATTGAAAGCAAGTCAGCAGAATAACAAAGTTTTTTTGTGTACATTCTCATGTATATTTAAAGGAAAAGAAAATCTGTTTGCCCTTCAAAAAAGATTCTTCCAAATTTAGAAAATTGTTGTGGGCATCAGCTGGTCGGTGACATGGTGACATGCAGGTTGGTAAAAGAATTTACCAAAGATAAAGTATGAGAATAGAAGTTTACTAGGCGTACACTGCCATAGACAGCAGCAGGCCATACAGACAAGGGGCGCCTGTGTGAGCACAGAGGGCCGGTTGTTGGGGTCTTTTATAATGTCAGGTCACAAGGTGCCTCATTGGCTTGTGTGCAAGTCTCCGATTGGTTGTAGGTGAGGTAAGAGGTTTAGGGTCTGTGAAGGGCAGTGGGGTTTGACTCTCATAAGGTGGGCTGAAACAAACCAGACTGAGCAATTATGAGATTAGGCATTACCTAGGGCTATTAGTTTGTTATGGGAAACACGCGCAGTAAAGAATGTACTTTATCTGTTGAGGGATCAAAGGCAGACATCTGAGAATCCATAAATGGAGGTCATTGGACTTAAAAGGACATCAACTGGCCCAACAATAACATACAGAGCTGAGAGGGTATGTCCTTTAAAATGTACTGAGTTGAAGCTGACTCCCGATTTGGTCATCAGGTGGATACTGGTACTTGTTTTAGGAAGTATCTGAATTAGCAAGACTAATGGTTTCCAAACTTTCTGATAATCAAAATCTTAGTAGTATGTGTTGAATGACTCCATGCATATGACATTCTGGAAAAGGCAGCACTATAGGGAGAGAAAACAGGACTAGTAGTAGCTGAGAGCTGCTTGTGGGAATTTTTGGGTAATGTATCCATTCTGTATGATACCGCAGTTATAGATACATGATTCTAGGTACTTGTCAAAAGCTATAGAACAGTACACAAATACTCAAATTTGACTGTATGCAAATTTTACCCCTAAATATCAACTAGGATGTTAGGGGATCTTAGGATGGAATATGGAATATGACAAAGGAATCTAACTGTATTACAGATGAATGACATAAGCTCACTGAACAGGGATACGAAAAACGGAATGACCTAATTAACTTTGGAAAACAGTTTTGACTGGATTGTATAAGTGTCTTAGTCCATTTGGGCTGCTATAACAATACCATAGACTGGGTGGCTTATAAACAGCAGAATTTATTTTTCACAGTTCTGGGGGCTGGAAATCCAAGAACAAGCAAGGCACCAGGAGATTTGATGTCCAGTGAGGGCTAGCTTCCTGTTCCCTAGATGGCCGTTTTCTCACTGTGTCATCACATGGTGGAAGGGGTGAAGGAACTCTGGGCAGAGTGGAACAAAGGAATACACTCTGAGTCTGAGACAGGGAAAGATATTCCCACACAAGGCTACAAGCTCAGCACAAGCCATGAGTTTTTATCTCTGGATAAGGAAGTGTTCCAGGCCAAGGCCTCATGCATGAAAGACTGCCTTTCCCAACAAGAGGCAATTAAG